ATCAGCCCAGTGTCCCCTTGCCGTAGGGCAGCTCTGGTGCGGAGCTCCCAAGGCGATGGTGTTTTTGCCCGGAGACGCTGCTGGAGTCCGGCACAGCCCGGTCGGCGATGCTCCCCTCCGTATCACCGGTGGAGCGGAGCCGATGCTGAGCCCGGAGCTGTGGGGATGGGCTGGGACCCAGCTCTGCTGTGGGGCAGAGCTTCGAGATGCTCCCTGGGTGATGCTCAATAGTGCAGAGGAGAGGGGGGCAGGTGATGCCTTGGCCAACTGGCTGCTGAGCGGGGGCACTGACACCCCAAAGTACAGCCGAGCAGAAGAATTAAACAATTTCTTGGTTCTTCGTCGTCCAACATGATGTCTTCGGAGCTGCGATTTGTGCCCGGCTGTGGCTCATCACGTTATCTGAAGGAGCCAGGACCTCTGCGAACCCCAGCTCCCCGGGACAGGGTTATTTAAAGTGCGTTTTGGGGTGACCCTAATTGGGTTGGACGAGGCGAGGAGCCCCGGGCTCCCCCGGCCGTGTGCGACAGCCCGTGCTGGCTTGGGGAAATAACGTGGTGTTGGACTCTGCCTCCTTGTTGTAAGAAGTAAATCAAGTTGCTGTGACATGTTACGGAAAAGCAGCTCCAGCCGTGGCCGGTTCCCAACGATCCAGGGCTGATTTCCGCAGCTCCGTTGTAATTTTGGCTTTACAGTACGGTGAGATTTAATACTTTGAGCAGCTGGAAAGCAACCTGGCCAAAGGCGGGTGTCAGTAAGATGCAGTGATTTGTCTCTGGAGCAATTTGAATTAATGTCACTTTTAGCGTGTGAATACACACACACACGCATGAGCGGCAACAGGGTCGTGTAACCCTTCTCTGTCTGTTGGGGAAACTGAGGCACGGGGGGGGTGGTGGTGGTACTGCAGCCAGCCCCAGGGCTGCCCCTCCCCGCAGGGATGCTCTTCCCATTCAGTTCCCAGTCCCTGGCTGCCCTAACTGGGCCAACTGGCTTTTGTTCTCTGTCAGGCTGGTGGCCAAGATGCCCCATCAGCTTTCTCCTCGGTATTTCTGTCTCTCGAAAAGCTGCTGCAGCCAGAAAAAAATGAGACAGGACAAAAAAAAAAACCCACAAAACAAACAGGTTAGCCATCTCCCCTGCTCCAGTTCAATCACATTTGCTCAGGGTGAGGCAGCAGCTGCCGAGCAGAACCCCTCACCTGAGCTCACCTCAAATTCAGTAGCTCGAAGGGAGATGTTAAATCAAGCGATGATGCTTTAGGGAAAAATGTGGGACTCTGGGGCTCCCTTTTTGGCCCTTTCTGGGGGCTTTGGTCCCGCTCGTGAGCTGTTTAAAGCATCTGAAGGCACCACGAGCGCAGGAAAACGCAGCCGGCGGCAGAGCCCAGGGCTGGGGAGAGCTCCAGTGTCCGTGGCACAGCCGGCACCGGCTCTGCCGGGGATGCGCTTGGGAGGCGATGGGTCTGGCTTAGGTTGGAAAAAGCAAATTGTCACGAAGCCAGGCTGGGGAGAGAGACCTGGAGGAGGGTGAGAGGAAGAAAAAAAAGGCTTCAGGGCCAGGGAGACAGTTTTGTTTGAAAATTTATTGAAAAATGCAATACAAGAAGCAATACTGAACACTTACATCTGTCTAAATGCTACAGCAACTTTCCCTTTGATTTACTATGAAAGTCCAAAATAACAGCTTCCATCACTAGATCTATAAAGATTTGCCAATTTTAAAAGTTCCTATTTTTATAAAGAGTGTAAACGGCTAGCCTAGACAATTCACAATTGCCTTAAAAAAATTTTACAAAGCTCCTTCATATTCTCAACTAAATTATTTTATTTTTGTTTTTTTGTTTTTTGTTTTTTTTTTTTACAAGTTTCATCTCTAAGGCTGGGGCACTACCACCTCTTAAGGTAATTGTACAATTAAGAAAAATCAGCAAACCACAGTTTATTAAAACCAGAAATCAGTCAGTCCTTTGCTAACGCATCTGTGTTGGTCAGAGATCGCAACTGGGCAACCCGAGCTGCCGTTCCAGTTTAATGGAGGAGAACATGAGCTCCTTGCCTTCCTTTCTATAAAAACATTCATTCATATATAAATAGCTTCCATATAATGTATATTATACAATCAAGACAGTCTCTGGGTGAATTGGTGGAGTGGGAAGAGCTGGGAACATTCATATAAATAGACCTTACTTAGCTGGCTTGTCCCTGGAAATGACACGGCACGCTAAGAGCCAAGGATTTTAAAAACCCGTCGGAGGTGGAAGGGGTGTGGGCAGCCCCGCCACGGCCCCGGCCGAGGGTGGAAGAAGCTGCTTCTGCTCTTAACTTTTATCTTCTTCCCAGGCTGCCGCTGCTCCCGTCCAGCTCCTGGCCTCGGGCGCTGCACGTCGGGGGCCGTGTCGGCCGGAGAGGGTCAGCAGGGCTGGAAATCCCCCGTGGGGTCAGACAGCAGGGTGATGGCAAAGGTCAGACGAGGCGATAACTTGTTTAAAATACTCAAGGAGAAGCAGGAACTTAGAAGGAGGAAGTGTGAGACTGAACAACCTGGAAACAGCCACCCAAAATCCAGGAAAAGTAAAAATAGGGTTATTCTACGGGCCCTTAAAAAGGGACGTGCGCGGCCACGGTGAGCACATCCTTTGGGAAAGGAACCACCTCTCGTGCCAGCAGGTTTTTCACCGTGGAAATCCCCTGCTCAGGGTGTTTTGTCCCGCTCATTGGGCACAGGACACCCCAACTGAACACCCAGGGCCAAGTTTCAGCCCTGCACCACGCTCCCCTGAATTCTCGTGACAGCCAAGTGCCTTTAAGTGCTATGGACAAACGTAATTTTTCACGCTGGCTTTGTCTGGTGAAGCTCAGAAATCCTCTTAATGACTACGCGGTGTGCCTGTTTTCACTCCTCAGGTAGCTGCTACAGGGTGAGAAGGAAGGACTGAGTGGCAAAAAGCTAAATTCCCAGAAAAGGGCCATTGCCAGAGGGATGCTCAGCACGATGGGCGTTCAAGGCAAGCATTGCCCAACCAAGCTGAGGAGGACAGCAGGGACACAGACCTGTTAAAGGATCTGCCTTGCAGCATAAGGAAGGAAAGGGCTGTTCAGACATAAATAGGAAGACTTAATCTCTGTACTACAGCTGTGGAGCCCAGGACTCCCCAAATCCCCCGAGGAGGATGCCCGGTACCCAGCGGAAGGCAGAGCATCACAGGAGGGGACCACGCACCCAGAGCAGCCTGAGAAGCAGCTACCGGCATGGGAAGGCTGGAGGCCGAGAAGGACCTGTGGCCAGCAAGGCTCAAAGAAAGCAAAAATCCAGCAGCTCCAGCATTTTCGGCATAGTCTCCAATCAATACTGACAGCTTAATTAATTAAAATTGCACCTGAATCTGAGAAGCTACACTAGCCCCAGTGTAGTTCGAAGGCTGTCTGCAGCTAAACAGCAAGTTGTTGCAGCCTGAGCTAAATCCAGTGACTTCTGAAACACTTTATTCAAATTTAAAATAGCAGAGAGCTTTTTTTTATTGCCATTTTCTTCCCATCCTCAACTGAGGAGCAGCAGCAGAGCACTCCATGCCCTCAACTACCAATGTGCCACACTATATATATTTAAAAAAAAAAAAAAATCTCAACCTCAAAGTGTACTAAAGTGTTCACAAGTGTCTGGGCAGACTCTTTCCAAAGCTTATTTTTTTGTTTTTCTTTTTAAATTTAAATGCTGGAAGGAGAAACCAGGGCATGATTAGAACATTGCCACAAAGCTCAGAAAGCAGCAGCAGGAGCTCAGCCCCCGGTGCTGCGGAGGGAAGCACATCCAGCCCCAGAAAAGGGGTTTTCTGGCCATGACCACCACGCTGGCGATGGCCCCAGTGGTCTGTAAGCTCAGCCTAAAAATGCAGACACTAACCCTGGGATTTCGTTCCAGCAAGGCGGTCACAAAGCCAAACGAAGTGCAGCCCCTTGAGCCAGCGTGGAAGAGGGGCTGGCAGCACTTTCCACGGGGTTTGGCTCTATCACGACCAGCAACACCTGACACCTCTTAAGGTTTCTTGTTCAGCCTCTCCAAATACAGCTTACAGGCCTAGGAAGGATTGTCTAAAGGATTTAAAATTAAATGATAGTAGGATATATGCCCTGGTATACGGGTAATGTGTTTAACTTTAAAGAGCACTGTGAGGAGAGGGGGAAAGAAAAAAACAACCCATGACTTACAAAAAAAACCCCAAACCCCCTAATTTAAAAATCATGAACACAAACAACTGAAAAACTATGACACTGAAAAAAAAAAATCAGTTACTGTGAATGCTGCATAAGCCTACCTTAATAGCATTCAGAGTCCAAACACCTTAAACGCACGCTTCTAAGGGCTTTTTAATTTAATGGCATCTAGAAAACACAAACAGGTAGGTAGCACTCGGCAGAGACACACAGGAGGAAGGCGAGATGCTATCACAGTCCTCTTAAAGCTCTAAAATTCACAGTATAAGATACTTGAAGCAACTTTCAGTATTCCTTAAATCTAGTCAACTATTAAGATGTGTGCATAGGCTACACCACAAAACCCTACTGTGTTCACACATCGGGGGCCTGAAACCCAACGGGGAGAAAACTCGGAGCAAAGGCAGCAGCTCTGCACGCCCAGATATCGCGGCTGGAGTCTCAAGCTCCCTAGAACTAAAAAAAAAAAAATAAAAAAATCAAGAGGCAATCGGAAATGCTGCACAAAACTGAAGTCTGACTTTTTTTAAACTGACTCTCCCGGCAGAAGGACCCATGGCTTTTTGAAGGTGCATACGGATCCCGCATTGGAGTATGCACAGATGGGGTTTATCTCCGTTATCCCTGATGAGGCGGGGGGAATACAACTTAAAAGAGCGACCCTTTGAGCCCTGTGAGGTGTGTTGGGGTCTGTATCTGAAGAGGCTATGCGTGAAAGGGAATGAAAAATTGAAAACCTGTAAAAAATATTCAGTACAGTTAGAAATATGGCATACTTTTGTCACAATATATAAAAAAAAAAAAAAAAAAACAAACCAAAAAAACCCTATATCCAATAGGATCCAGTGGAGTCTGGAAAATCCCAAGTAAAATGGCAAAGCGCAACTCCTACTAAATGACATGAATGTCTCTGAGTGTCAAGTCTTGTAAATCCGAGGTCTTTGTGCTGCAGGTAGTTTCTTGGTAGTTTTGCTGGGTTTCTTTTTCCTGGTGTTGTGTCTGGCAGGAACGCTTCCTAGAAAGGCAGAAACAGGGTAAGTTATAGCTACCGACAGCCGGCTTTCCGGGAAAGAGAGGAACCTGCTTCCCTGAAGCAGCTGGAGAACGGAAAGCAGAAGGTGAGTTACCATCAACGGCAGGGGTGAATTCAGGCTCAGAGCCATCGCCAGGCACCTGCTACAAACACCACCCTGCTCCCACCCCTGAAGGACTACATTTTAAGAGCTGCAAGTCCAGGAACCCTTAGGAAACCTGTGCCATTTTTATTTAGCTTTGGAGAGTTCAAAAGCTCAACCACAACATCTGTTAAACCATGCTGTCTCTCCTCTCGCCTAATTTGTTCTTGTTCCACCTCCCAAATCTCGGCAAGTACCAGCTTTGTTGGGATGAGGCAGGACACAAGCAGGGCAGCGCATGGCACCGACTTGGGCATCACCGGCGTGGGGCAGGATGGGCTTTACAGCACTGATGCACAGGCAGAGATCCTGGATTTCTCAAGCACCTCCTTCCCAAAATCAACAAAACTGCAGGAAAGGGATCTTTCCAGGCAAGTCAGGAGCTTGGGGTCCAGCTCCAGGATTACCTGGCACTGATGTGGGCAGGGATCTATGTGAAACCTTTAGCTCAGCTCAACCTGGTGCATCGCAGGTGTTTGGTAAGGCAAAACAGCCTCATCACAGGAGCCATGTAGCTTGTTTCAGGCAATTCTGGCTCACTTCCACAGCAGCATTACTCTGTATTTATGACTGCTTCATCAGCCTTCAATGATTTAATAGGAACAGCCCGAGCAGGACTCATCAGCTAACCATAATAATTTTACCTAAACTTTGACCATATTTAGCCAAACCTCACTTGCACGGAGATCAAGCCCCCTGCCCTGGGGGGAAAGCAGCACCCGTGTACGTGGTTCTCCTTACTTACACAGCATTGCTACTCCTCTGCGATCTCGGTCTCCTGGTGCACGACCACTTTGGTCACCGACATGTCCGGGTGCTGCTCCTTTGCTGCTTTTATCGCCTGCGCGAGAACCTGAAAGAGAGCACATTTCAGGGCATGCCACCGACGGTCCTCGGGGGGACAAGAGACTATTTTTAATTCTGGGGAGAGAAAAAGAGAAGTGAATCCACTTCAGCTGCGCAGCTTGGTGACTTGTGGTGGCATTAGATTGTTTCTGAAAGGAAAAACTGTTTTCTAAGAATACACCACATCTCTCCACTGCCCCATGGTAGAAGATGGATGAGAGCAACGAAGCAAACCCTGTTTATTTCTTCCAGCAAGTGTGATGAGCACATTTCAGACATCTTCTCAGACATTTTCTGTTGGAATTAATAAACTAGTTCTTGTCGTACGAATATTCTCCAGCCCCACGATACTTGCAGCTAAAATTAAATTCAAGGTATAATTCTCTGATGACAAAATCATCACTTCCAACACACGCTACAGGCCAATGAGGCTGACTCATCGGAAAGGTTTCATATAAAGCCGATGAGATTTAATGCAGGTGCCAAGTGCTATGAAAAGACTTCTGGCACTATACGTCAGCAATAGCGCTTCAAAGTTATGAGAAAATTAATGCAGATCATCCAGTTGTCAAGGAAAACTTTTAGTTCACTTTTTTGTGGACTTTTTTTAAAAACTGCATTTGTCCAAAACAATTCTGCAATGAAAACTTTGCTGCCAACACCAGTTTCAGAAGAGAATTAAGCTTTGCTGGCCCAGCTATACAGCTGCAAAAGGAATCTATTACTGAAATCAGTTTTGAAGTTTTATTTCTACCCCCATAAAATTTCCCTAGGTTGTTTTCTGGTGAAGTTGTCTTCAGAAAGGCAGTCTGACTGTCTAATTCGTGCCAGCTCTGAGAAACTCTTTCGGACCGCATCCAAGCTCCTACCTGGTCGTGGTCTACATCTGCATCTCCTGTGATGACAATCCTCTTTTCAATCCGCGTCTCTGAAATGCCACCTTTTACAGTCTAGTACAAAAGGAAAAACTACTGTTAGTCTAGAAGTGAGAAGGAATTCGAGTGCACTGGGGCTGCCTGTCCAAAGACGGTATCCAAAAATAGCATCACCAAATACTGCCGTCATAGCACGGTATCAGAATCACAGGGGAAAACTGCTGCTGCTCAAAGAAAAACTGTCAAATATTCATTTTCTTATAACTGAGCCAGGGAAGAGCTTTGACTCATGGTACAGTTCTTTCCTGTTGTCCCACAGGACAGTCAGAGCCCATGTCCACAAACTCCACCACAATTAATGCGTCATCTACAGTCTTCATTCAACACAGGCAAACCTGGGACCCTCGTGCTTTGTTTCGGGTATTAATCACATTTTTTGAAAGGAACTTACAAAAGCCGCCTTTTTTTACTTATTCAACTCTGCCCATCTCTCTATCATGTTGTTGTCGTTGTTTTATCGTGTTCCCATGCTGTTACCTTTGTGATCTGGGTGGTGGTGGTGCTGCTGGTGGTTTCCGAAGTGATGGTCTGAGCAGTCAGCAGGATGCCAGGGTCTAAATCTCCATTGCCACCATCTGTCTGTGGGACAGAAGAACAGGCCATCAGTCTCTGCGGGCAGTGGGGACAGAAGCAGGGTCCCCACATCAACAGAGCAGGATGCAATCCGAGGACAGAAACTCCTCTCCACCGTGGACCGCCGGACAGAGCGAGCCGATCTGCAGCTGGCTGAGCTGCACCCAGCTGCACAAGGACTGCGCAGGTCTCTGAAGGCTCAGCACAAAGCCCCTGGACTTTAAGGCTGGAAAAGCACAGAAGATCCCATGGAATCACCTAGGGAGAATCTCTGACACCCCTCAGACCAGGTGGGCTGGGATATACCCAAATCTGGGTGCACTGTTGGCCCTGCAATGCCGGTCCACACCAAGCTTCATGCTTGGACCACGAAGGGAGACCAAAGCAGACACCTATCCCGAATTACACCTGCCTGGATCCACGGAGATCCACAAAGCCAGCGAGCTCAGCCTGATACAGGAGGTACTTGTTAGCCTTCCTCCCTCCCGACAACACCTTGCACATCGCTCGCTTTAAACTCCGCACAAGCAATGAAAGTCCAGATACTTGCTGAACTAGGAACGACTTCTTTTACAGCTGGTTACTTGGTTCCCATCCTGCACGGCTCAATATTTCAAGGTCTGCCGAAAAACCTAAAGTTATCCTTGCCAACTCATCCTGGCCGTGTCTCCCTTACGGCGCAGCATCCCCAGCACGGCCGTGGGACGATCTCTGGAGTTACCACAAGGTGGGACCATCTTCCACGGACTGGAAGAAATCTCAGGGCACATCACAAGCCGGCACATGCATGGCCAACTTCTCCCAGCCCTGCAGACGCACTTTTCCTTTTCATTTCCCAGTTAGAAATGGTAACAGCAGTAACCAGAGCAAAACTGCTCTATTCGCTCGCTGAGAAACAGGGTGATGCTCACCACCGCCTGGTGCAGGGATGTCTGAATGCCCCCTCTACTCCTGCAATCGAGGAGGATGCTGAACAGCCAATGGCATTCCTCGGGAATCCCAAATTATACACATTATACATCCATTGGGAATCCCAAATTATACAAATTATACATTCCTCGGGAATCCCAAATTATACAAGCATGGTCCATGGGATACCCGCACCCGAACCTACATCCCATGATCACTACACTCCAACCATAGAGCAGGGGCTGCTTCTAACAACCACAGTTACAGCAAACCCAAGCTAACTTAGGCTACAAATTCTCAAATACATCAATAAAACCTATTTTAGATTGAGGATTAATTTTAACCTCAGCAATGAAACCATACCTGCATACATTGGTATTGCTCCATGAACATTTTGAGTTTCCAATCACCAGATACCCACTCTGGTTGCATTTTATAGAAAACTTTTGGTTTTCAACACCTGTTTCAAGGTTGAAACCTAAACGACAATCCAATAATTTACAAACCAAGCTCTGAAGAGGAATAAACAGAAAGGAGAGCCGGGGAAAACAAAACAAGGCATCTCTTGCAGAAAAAAGGCCAACTCGGGTTAACTCCACACAGTCAAATCTACATCCCGAAGCCACCAGTGGCTGAAGATAATTTCTGTTCACACGCACATCTTGAAAAAATAATTACTCTTCAGGGACAGTAGAAACACTGGCCCTCTAAAAATATCAGATGCACCTGGAAATAGTGTCCACAGCATCAGTTACTGTCTGTGCTGTGACTCAGACGCTTGGAGAAAGGCAGGTGCTGCTGTCTCAGCCAGAGGATTCGGAAACAAAACGCTTCCTTGAGTTTAATTAAGCCCCTGGAAAATTAATCAGAACACACCTTACCTGTGCAGCTTCGTAGGTGATGGTCTTTGTCTCTGTGTGGACGATGGGGACTTCTTTCGTGGGAATTTCGCTTTTGACGGCGCTGGACACGTCAGAGATGGTGACCGTCTGTGTCTTCACTAGCGGTGGCTGTGAGACAGGGTTAAAAACATCTCCGTAAAGACCCAGTTAGCATTTCCATATCGTGACCGCGCTTGCTAGCAAATGTTCTGACACTGATCTGATAAAAGCACTGTGGGAACCAAGGTCAGGCTGGAAATCTTTGGTTTTAAGCCTCCGGTAGGACACGCTGCTCAGAGGGCAGAGATCACGCGTGAGGATTAAACAGACAGAAAAATCCTCCAGACCTTCCCCAACACCGTGCCCTCAGGACAGCCCACGCGAGGCATCATGGCTTTAACCGGTGTGTCACAATACCACAAAGAAACCGTTCTCCACTAATTATTGACTTTCTAATTACTAGAAGCTCATCGCCAGCTGCCAGGAAAAGATGACCCTCATGTACCGATGACAATGTCAAAGATTAACACAAACTCTGGGCAAAGGAAGACCGGATCACAGGTGAGAAGCTTTATCCTGACTGCAAGTGAAACACTGTATTATTAAAAATCCTCCTCAGATCCTAGGTCTTTAACTTTTATTAAATCAATGTCAGACAAAAGAGAAACATAACATCTCGAAAGACAAACGCGGGGGCCAGGGGGGGAAGAGAAATCAGTTGTTCCACCACCTGATAATTATCCAGAAGACAGAGTTAGTTCAGACCCACAGTGTTTTCCCACAAGGCTCGATTTCTGCTCACCGTCCCCAAACCTGACAGATGCCACCGTGATTGTTAGCAGGGGAAGCGGGCATCTATTTAACCATAAGCAATTAATATCAACACTGAAGCAGGCAAAAATACCTCCCATGGTGGGGAGTAGAAAGGGGACATCAAAGCCCACATTCATGATGTAAAAGCACGTTTGACAGCGCTTCAAATTTGCTCTGCTGCGCTAAGGCTCGGCCTCCGGTACAGCAGGAGATGGCAAAAACCTTCAGGAACTAAAATGACATGCCTTTGGAGTCTAAATATTTCCCTTTTGGGGGATGCAACAGGATGCTTTGATCAAAGAAAAGCAAAGGGCAATTGTATTTAATGCAAAGATATAAATTGAGAGGGGCTTGTGTGCGCTGACTGGGGGAGATTAACCGGCTAATTAGCTCCAAGCACGAGTCCAAGCCAAGCAAACACAACTCCTCTCTGGGTCCGTGGCATCTGCTTGCTGCAGTGTTTGGGTCCCCACTCCAAAGCCAGCCGGGGGGATGTGGGGGGAGCAGGCGCTGGGGCTCACTACCTGGAAGCAGCGAATGACTGCCGGCAGCCCGTTATTAACATCTGAGTCGTGACACTCGCCATTGAGCTTTCTAAAGGCAAATCTGTCTTCGCCATCCTCTGCCACCTCCTCCTCCTCCCCCTCTCCTCCCCAGGGCTGCCGGGGAGGTACGGCAGGGCTGGTGCGGGGCTCCAGCTCAGCGAGCTCCGAGTCCTTCTCCACATCCGCACAAAGCCCCTTTCCACATCTCAGGTCCTCCTCGCTCCTGGGGAGGCTGGGAGCTGCCTCCTCCTCCTCCTCCTCGCTGCTTAGGGAGGAAGCACCAAAGTCACGGCTGGGAGAAGGCTCTGAGGTGGGTGGCACTGGGGTCTCACTAAAAGCTACCGACTGCTTTGAGCCCTCCCGCGCAAAGCCAGTGTTAACACTGCTCCTCTCTGGCACTGCAGCCTCATCCTCTCTGGCGAGAAAGTCACTCATTCTCTAAAAAGAAACGAATACACAAAAAAAGGCCAGAGAGAGAGAGAGAGAGAGAAAGAGAGCGTTAGGGAGAACAGGAGGTCAGGAAGCATAAAGGCAAAACATCGGTTTCTTATAATGCATCGCATCTCCAGTAATGCATGCAACAGCGGTGGGTTTGGACACTCAAAAGCTTGAAAGCCTTTGCGCTATGCGATGTATCCAGTGCATTTACTGACACGGCCTTCCTGGTACATTAATAATCCACCCTCCTAAAGTTGAAGGAATTAATGAAAACATCTCTCTGCACCTAAAGGAAGAGCACTTTTTTTGCCCAGTTTGGAAGCAGGAATAATTTCAGTGTAGCAAATGGGGACTTGCGCACATCCAAAATCACATCTGCAGCAAAACCCACCGACTACACCAAAACCGTACCCCAATTCTGCTTTTAACTTCTTGAAATATTTCATGCTGTGTTTTAAGTTGCAGGTGGAGGTTAAAAGAATAGCCTGGAATTACTGTGCACAATAACCCATCAAGCCTGTGCTTTGCTCTTTTCCTCTACCCTGGGAACGCTTACACCTCCGAGCACCCTCTTTTGCTGTTGCCGTCTCCAGGATAACTAACACAGATTTGTCATTATGGCATTGGTAAAATTATTGTAAGAATATCTACAAGTTAGTCTTGAAATCAACTGCTTCAGCTCCCAAGAGGCTCCTGAACTGGCGATGCAGCCTGGGCATTTGAAAGAATTTGTACTAGTTCTTTGAGGTAAACCGGTTCAATTAACTCAGCACAAAACTTTTCAGCTGAGGAATAAAGAAATGTGGCTTTAAGCTGGAAAGCCAGATGTTCAACGCTGACGTGTGCTGACCCCCTTGCCGCCGAGCCCGCAGTTCAGTTTATTGCTCAACAAGCTGCGCTGGACCATTTATTCGGGACTACCGAAATATTTGTAACATACTTTATCCCCAAAGCAGATGGCGCGTGGAAACCTTCGCAGTAGCTAAACCTCCTGAAGGTACGACATAATTGGCGTTTGTGACGGTGCACGGGAGAGAAGACACGTAATGAAGCAACTCAGCCCTCCGAGAAGCAAGCGAGCACGTCTAGAGCATCCGAGATACTTGGGAAGAGCATGCCAAGCCAGAGGGTTTAACTAAGGCTGGTGCTATTCTGCTCTCCGTTCAGCTCGTTAGCAAAGTCTCAGTTAGGTCTTCTCACATCTCTGGGAGCCCTCTAGCAAGGAGGGAAGCAACAGTGACAGAAGAGTTAAAACACGAACAAGACAGAAAGCTTCAGCAAAAATCAGCCCAAACGCCCAAGCGATGAATATTTGAGAGGCACGGAGAAGCAGCACTTCAGTCACCAGCGGTGAATGATGGCTACAGCCCTGCCCTGTGCTAGAAATTGTGTTTCTCTCATTATTGGCATGGAAAGTCGCCTTCAAGGAAGGGCAGAATAAGCAGTTACGGGCACCTACAGTTTTACGCTTTATGGAAGTTGTCACATCATCCAGCATCAGGGAATAAGGAGGGAAAGAACCCAGAGAGATGCTGCTAATCATCGCCATGACTATTTCTTCTCAGTAATTAACCTCACGGTTGATTTCCAGTGACTTTCTATAAAAACAGCCACATATCTGTTCATCCAAAAACGGTAATTAAATTTTCATAAAAGCACGGCAAGTCCATTTTGTCAACTGTTATTCTGATTTTGGTGGTGGCATTCAGATGAACAGAAACTGTTGCTTCACTTTCTATTAAGAAGATGCTCTGGGCAACCAAAAATCTGCAATTTGTGCTTAAAATGTGAGGTCTGAAGCCTGTGGGTTATCCGGTACAATGCATTTTCTGTACACCGAAGGCTTTTGCCCCGATTCACCTCCTCTAACGGCACAGTTAGTATGTTAAGAATAGGAGCTGCTTTACGTGGGAACAAATAGATGCTTATTTTAATACCATTTCACGAAAGGATTCTTCCACCATTCCTCCCGGGTATTTTTCAGTTCCCTGCTTCTTTATGTTGCAGACGGATTACCTGTAAGGTTTCTATCCATTAGGATTTCCAGCCTCTTGGGGTATTGCTTAGGAAAATGCATTTAATAGGAGTGCAGGGACAGCGATCAGCACTGTGACGATCAGGTCAGACCGCACACATATTTCTGACCGAAAACCACTTCCATATGTGCTCCTCCAAAGGTATATCCAGATCCCATCCTCATTTTACCTAACGCAAGATACTACGCTGCAATATTTCACAAAACAGAATAGGAATGGAGGTTGTCAGTTTTGAACGCCCATGTCTTCATCTTGTTTTAAAACCTGAATTTATATACTGCTAATATACTGATCTTTCCTTAATTATATATGCTAAAGCTTGCAAATTAATCACGGGATCTTGAGAAGACACAGTACATCTGGGGTTTAATGGAAAATGCCTTCGGAGCAAGATCTCCTTACGTACCAGTTGGGGTCCTACTCGACCAAGAGGAAGAATCACAGATAAAACAAAGCAGATTAAACAGCTACACAAACGCAGATCTATTTAAGAGACAAACATTTGTATACAGTCAAAACAACTTCCCGGCTCCCTTTTGTATACAGAAAAAAAAAATAAAATTGCATTTTGGAAGTATCTTCTATGGTAGAAGCATAAAGGAAGGGAAAAGCTTAAATGTAGCCTGTGGCGTACATACACTGGTCATCAGTAGAGCAAAGTGCAGCAAGAAACATGCAAGCTATAAAGACAGAATGAAATCCTGATAAGATCAACTGATCAGAAGCAGTTTTTTTCTTGCCTGCCTATTCCACTGGTAAGAAGAGAGACTAATGGAACGGTATTTGTTTCTACAGAAAATTATCTATTTACACACACTTTAAAAAAAAAAAAATACAACTATGTTCCTATATTTAAAACCGCAGTTTGCATGTCTAGAAAATATTATGTTTTTATTAAAAAAAAAAAACAACCAACAAACAGTAAACAAAAAACACCCCCCCTGGGAATTTGAGCATCTGTTACAAATTCTGATCTTATCAAGATTTATTTTAATTGGCAAATGCAAACGCATTCCTATTTTCAAGGCTGAGATTTGCAGAGTCCCAAGCTCTCCTTGAGCCCCACGAAACCTGAGAGTGCCTGGGCTGCAAACTCCTCACTTCCAGAGACACAGAACCAAACCAGCGGCGCCTGCATCAAGCACGAAGCAGACTATTCGCACAAGCCATACACAGTGTAAAGAAAAATACAGGACAGGATGCAATGCCCCAGAAGAAACAAATCGAACCAGACACGAATGCAACTCAAACGTTGCCCGGCTAAGTACAGATCTTTGTGCACCTGATGCCGACAAAT